AAAAGATGGATATATATTGAGTAAGTCTGTTTATTCCACAGTCTACTCTCAACTCTTCATGCCAACAATGGGAGAAAGGTTGACTGAATTAAGCCAACATTCTAACAAACTCTTCAGATTCTCTTCTGCCAAATACCATTTATAATAAAATGGACCTCTACCTGTGTTTTTGAGAAAATACAAGTTATTCCTTGGTTGCTTTGTTTATTTGCAGATCACATCTGCTTGAGTTTCAAGATAATTATTTTTTTCAATTACCACTAAGAAAACACACAAAATAAATGACCATCTACTAAAAAGGAAAAGATTTACAGAAAAATGAAAAGGCAAAATAACAAAATTTGAGTATCCTAGCTAGTTTTGGACATTTCTGGGGCTTCCTTTGGACTAAGGAATAGAAAAAGAGAGATAATAGCAAACCTGTAAAGGAAAATAATTCATAGTAAATAAAATCATAAATGCAGCAAGAGAAAAGGAATATTAACACAACAGTCTGAGTGAGGTGAACATAACTGCAAGAAGAAAATGGCTTTATTTTATTTAGGCAATATAGTTCATTCAAGTAAATTGATGAAAATTGCAGATTTAGTTGTTCATTCAACAAACGTTTCAAAGAAATATCTTTTATATTCTCTTTCAACTGGGGCATCGTAAGGGTCTATCAGATATAGACATACTTTTATGGGCTCAAAATATATTTAAACAGATAAAATCACATCAAATAGCCTAGTGTTTTAAAATACACATTAAATGTATGGCACACTTTTAAGAAAAGGTGCTGAAAATAGTCGACTGTATTTATACATCAAAATAATTTCATGCACTGCATAACTAAAGCCAAGATAACATATAAAAAAGAATTGTCTCTCTAGAACAGAGCATAAAGATTGTATCTTTTGAATTTTGATGCTACATTAAAGCTATAGAAACACTAATTAGAAAATAATGTAAAGATAGTATTTGCATATACCATGCAACAAATTTTCTGCTGAATTTTTTCCTTTTTGACTATATGTTCAAAGGAGCACCACTCGAGGTGATTATTGTGTGTATGTAAGTGGTGGAAATGATCACTATGTGATCAATAGCTTTTTCCCAAAATGCTTGCAGTAGTAGCCATAAAAATATGGCGATTGTCTTTTTCACAATCTGCGCTGACTTGGTTGGAATGTGTGTCTGACAGATTTGTGCATACGTATCTGTGGTTTTACCACAATGCCACAACATGATTGAACTCCAAAAAATTTATCAAATCCTACTCTTCACTGGTTCCTCTGTGGGGTTGTGTGGGCAGTTTATCATACCTCCACAGTGCTTACGAACTAATGAGGGAAGAGATGCAGGCCGATACAATCACAAGGAGAGAAGCAAACCAAGTTAGCTGCTCCTACCCAGAAAGAGTGGGCACATGTACAATCAAAGTTCTTTGTTGTAAGACATAGATGCTGACTTCAACTGATTAAGCAAAGGAGAGTTTGTTTAAAAAAATAAAAATGTGTAACAATTGCTGGGCAGGCTGGAAAACTAACCTGGAGGCAAAGCTTTCAGAAACTGGCCTGACCAGAAACTAACGGCTGCCCATACTACCCCAGCGCTACTTCTGCTTCAGGAGCTCTATCCTGCCAGTGAGGCTTTCCCTGACAGACACTCTTCCTGGTACCCCAGGAAGTAAAGTGAATTCTGGGAATTCGGGAATTCATGTTCCCCCAAGTTGCTCATTTCTGTGCCAGGCGAGTCTCACTGGTAAAGTCCAGATCACAAGACTATACCCTGGCTACAAAAGAGGCTCTACCTGGCGGAGGTGGGCCTCATAAGGCAAAGATGCTCCAAAGGAAATGAGAAACCAAAAACAAGACAAAGGCTCATTCAACTTCCGAATAAGCTCATTTATTCAAACTTATTCATTAAGTGGTTACTATAATATATGCCAGGCCCAGGTGCTTTCCTTTCTTTCCCATATATCACATTGTACTGTCATTCTTTACTTGTCTCTCTCAGCAAGCCAGTCCTGTCACCATTATTAAAGAGGAGGTTTTTCAAAGGCCAGGACCTTGTCATATTAACTGACACATTGCCATGTCCTCAGTAAATATTTATTAATGGATAAATAATAAATGTATAAAATATTATGCAAGTAAAAGAGTACAAGAAAGGCAGGAAAGGGCACCATAGAAGATGTGGCATTCTAGCTTAGCCTCAAAGGAAAAAAAGGAAAGGAAGAGAAGAACATGCCAGGCAAAGGGAACAGTAAGCAAAGGCCTGGGAGGAGGGAAAAGTGGGCATTTTGGAAAAGTCTGCAGTTGAATTGGTTGGTATATATTAATAGCAACGGTTCTTCATCTTCTGCAGAGAAGAGACCCAGGCTTGTCACCAACCCCACTCAACTGTACCAGAACACAGGAAAGAGGGGTGGCAAGCATGACATTGAAAAACTTCCCACACGATTCTGAGGAACAAACCTGGGTAAGAAACATTGTTTATAAAGTGTGTAGGGAGGATAGAGGAGATGGTGAGGAAGAGAAGTAGCAAGCAAGGTTGTGAAGAAGTTTATCTTTGGGTCCTCCTACTCCCTAATGCCCTCACTTCCCTACGTAATTGGCCTCACTACTTTATCCTTATTCGATATCCTGCTCACCAAGGCCCCTGCTGGTAGATGGGTTGTAGCAATCCTCCTGACTGGGAGGGACCTAGTGTGTCAGGCCTCATTTGTTTAGTTATATTCTATCAGCACACATTGACCAACAGGGCAGCATGTGCAAGCCAGTGTGCGCCCTACAGATCCCCAGATGAAGGACGTCATCCCATCCACGAGGATCTCATAATCTAAAGCATTTGCATTTTAACATCTAAGTATATACATGAGATGCTTTTAAGAACTAAAAATGAATTGCCAATGGCACCAAAACAGGGAAATATCTTGAAGCAAATGATCTTGTCCTCAATTCTTAAAACACCCCCACTTAAAAGTCTGTCTGTTCCAAAATTGTTCCTGCAAACTTCCAGTTTCCTACACATTGAATACATCATATTCAAACAGCAAATTGCAGCTGGATAGGCTAAATTCATCTATAGGGATCCATGGTTGTTTTTCAGTAGAGACTTTTTTTTAATGAGAAGAAATGATAGAAGAAAGAGTATTTGAATAATAGGGGAGAGAACTCCAGGCAACTCTCCTCCCAGAAAACTATTTTCTCCCTAAAGAGTCAGAACTCCACCTCTTCCATCTCATCACACATGTTTTGAAGGGTGTTGGTGGAGGTGACATGCTGCAGCAGGATCCAAAAGCGAACAAATGCACATGACACCCCCCTCAGCTGGAACAAGAGTACACCTTGATATTGCTGGCCAAAGGCTCCTGGAGGGGGGAAGACCTCAGAAGGAGGGCAGGGGGGAATGCAAGAGGAAGACTGGCTCTGCAAACTGCAGAGAGCTCAGCTGTGGTTTGTCCAGGAGAGCACACTGCTGTCCAGCGCTAGGCTAGAGAGGTCATTTAGGTCAGTTTTTCATTTGCCTTGGGCAGCACTCACATAACCCGGTGCCTACCCCCCTCTCTACCTGTATCTCTATCTACTCATCAACTCATTTAATTTATGCTGGAATAACACCTAACTGCCATCATGGCCTTCCTGTCCCTCACCTCCATAACATCATCTCAGACGTCTGCACCTGCTGCTGCTCCCTTTTCCACATCCTTCAACGCTTGGCTCGGAAGTGATTTTCTCCAGGAAGTTCTCCCTGCCCTTTTTGTCGGTGCTGTCGCAGATTCCCTGGTATGTTCTCAGGAAGTCACCTTCACCATCCTCTAAGTCCTTCAAGTCCAGATCCTTGCTTATTCATCGTTGAATCCTCAAGACTGACTCGGTGTGGTGACTGGCAGAGAGAAGGTGTTCAGTAGGTTGTTGAACTGAATGGGATGTGCTGTATCTGCGTATTTACCACCTTGGGTACTAAGGAGGTTTCATGGTCCTCCCCAGACAGACTTGAAAGTCATAATCCCAAAGTATAGAGAAGTTGGGATGAACTATGGCCATACCCAAGAAAAAGACATAAGACTGGAGGTGAAGAAAAGAATTCACCGAAATGGAAGAGTCTGAGAAATATTAAAATCGGACCTTTGAAAAGTTTGTGTTACATGACTCCATGAAGAATTTTTACAATACCATTCCAGTAGATCATGCCATGGGGTGGTGGTATAGGGTCATTGGGAGGAGGTGAGGGAGTGTCAGTTATTCACCTTGGTATCTCACTGTAAAGCACATGGGAGGCACTTGCCAAAGAGACACATTCATGTAATAATTTTTATGTCTGATTTTATATATATATATATATATATATATATATAATAGACCTAATTTAATGCTGTTCATTTTGTAATACAGATTCCATTCTTCCCAAGTAATACTGTTAGGGGAGCCACTCAAATCAGGTGGACAAAACTAGATGGTATGTCCATTCATTTCCTTGATGGTTAAGCAGTGCAAGAAATGTGAACTGTTTTGTGAACACAAAGACATTCTGTTGGAAAACAAGAAATTCTGCTCTTGGTCCTGGGAATTCACAGGTTTGGCCCAATTCTTGCTGAAGACAGAGCAGGACTCCTTCTATAAGCACAGGAGTGGGGAGGGATGAAGGCGAGGTGAAGAGAAAGTTAGGAGGGATGGAGGAAAGTTCATTATATTAATACTTCGAGAATCCTAGGCTGCAGCCTCAGCTGTGCTAACTCACTGTCTGTCTCTTGGCCTCTCTGGGCATCAATTTCCTCAATCTGAAAAAAATAAGGCAGGTGGACGAAACGACCAATTATAGCCCTTCCACCTGTGATTCTAAACAACTCCAGATGCCTAATCAAGGAGGTTCCAGGCAGTTAACCAAGGAGACCCACGGGGTCCGCTCCCGGCTGACCCGACCCCAGACTCTCCCTCCCACGCTCGCCTTTGGCACCGCCCGCCCCTGCGCACCGCCCCTGGGAACGCGGGAGCGCGCCGCGCGCGCCCGAGGCCACGTGACCCGGAGCCGCGGGGCCGCGCCTGAGCCGCCATGTCGGCGCCGCCAGGAGAACCTGGGCCGGGACCTGGCGCGGGCGCCCGGTACTTCTGCACCGCGGGCCGCGGCCTGGAGCCGTTCCTGATGCGCGAGGTGCGGGCGCGGCTGGCGGCCACGCAGGTGAGTCGGCCTCCCGGGGAGGACGGGCGGACCCGGCAGAGCGAGCGAGCGCCGCTCCCGGCCCGGGATGACCCAGCGACGGCGCCGCCCTCTGGCTCGGACCGGCGAGTCCTGCAGTGACCGCCGCGAGGAACCGCAGGCCGTGTCTTTGCCTACGTATCAAATGCGGTTACCGCACGGCTGTCACGGCTAAAGTTTTAAAAAGAGAAGTGTTGAGGCAGGTTGTTTCCTGGATTCTTTAAAATAAAGTACTTACAATTATAGTGCCTGCATTTCGAACTGTTGGAGTTAGAATCCTTCCTTCCTCCTTTGAATGCAGACATCATCTTGAAGTTCGGTTACTTGACTCTTAAGAGTTTCTTGACAATGATTGTATTTACCTCATAGGATTGTTGTAAGGATCAAATGACATAGGGTATGTAAAGTACACTTGAAACACGCAGCAAATAGTAGCCAAAGTAATATACTCTTGCAGGCCTCATAGTTATCTGTTTTTAATTTCCATGAAATAAACAAGATTTTAAACATCAGTGTAGGTTTTAGTACTTGCGAGCTGGTTTCTTGAAAGCAGAGGAGAAAGATGTAATAGAAAAAGTACCTTGATGGGGTGTATGTGAGTTTCTGCAGTGACAGGTGGGAGTCATGAACAATGTCAGTCTTATTAGACTACCTGCCGTTTGTGTTTTGGGTCACAGAGTTTAATAGTGTATTGAGTGTAGCTAATCTAAAAAAGCAACAATATATAACAATAACTGCTGACGTTTATTAAGTATTTAATAGGCGTCAGGCACATGTTCTTAGGTCCTAACCCTGGTTTTTACTTGCTGTTGTAATCTTCACAACAACCCTATGAGATGGGTGTTCCTCATTCAACAGATGAGGAAAATGAAGCACAGGTAAGTCCAATAGTTTATTCAAGCCATGCAACTAGGAAATGGCAAAGCTAGGATTCTAACCCAGGCTGTCTTTGTAACAAGCATTAGTATGTAATCATGTTCAAACCACCGGTGATGCTGCAATTGGTTTTTTTTTTTTTTTTTTGTGGGGGTGGGGATGGGTGTTGTTTGTTTTTTCTTGATGTTAACTTAGAGTGCTTGGCATGAAAAAAGAACGCTTGACCCAATCTGTGTATGTAGAACTATTAGAAAAGAAGACTGACCCTTTCTGCTTGTTCTCCATCGTTTCTAAAGACAAAATGAGATGGGAAACTTTAATTACCAACAGGAAAGTTAATTAAGTATAGGGAAAAACTTCTTGACAATGAGATTAATTAAATGCCAAGAAATTTAGGAATTTCCATATTCTGTTTTTGTATGTTTTAATGATAGATGTGCCTGGGAATGGAATCTGAATAAATAACCTCTGAAATTCCATCCCAGTTGCTCTAATATAAAGTGAACTCTCAAAGTTAAGGCAATCCCGAAATAATAATGATAGCAACTAACATTTACTAAGCACTTAAAACGTAAGACACTTTATGTACATGTTATGATTTAATCCTCAAAAGACTTTACCTCCATTTTACAAAGAAATAGAAAGCTGGTGATAAGTGGTAGAACTGGGACTTGTATCTCAGTCTGTCTAGCTTCAAAGCCCATGTGCTTAACCATTAGGCCAAATTACCATGGGAAACTGCCCTGCAACGATAGATGTAGGTTAACTCTGTAACACGATGATAAAGAGTGTGTGTGGGTTTTATAATCAAAAGACCTGTGTTCAAATATTTTATCTTCCTTTAATAGATTTGTAACTTATGGCAAATTACTCAAATTTCTGAGCTTCACTTTCCTTGGATGTAAAATAGAGATGATAATATAAATACTTTAAAGGATTAATGCAATCCTTGAAATAAAGATAAATAGCACAGGTAGCATGGTGCCTGGCAAATAGTCAGTACTCAATGTTTGAGTGAGTTGCACAGGACTACTTAAAACATTCTTGCAATGACGCAAGAGTCTGTTAGAAACTTTGGTTCATTTCAAGGACATTAGTATTCTGAAATCTGAATTTACAAAACAAATTAATTCAGAAATGATTGTTTACTTTTAGAAAGTAATCACTCTGTCTTAATCAGTGTTTTTCCAATTTTAATAAACATAAGAATCACCGGGGAGCCTGTTGGAAATGTGTATTTCTGGGTGCCAGCCCCAAAAGGCTTCCTTTTGGTAGGGCTGGTGCTAAGCCCAGGTGTTTCCATTTTAACATGAACACTCTCTCCTCCCAGTTGACTCTGATATGGGTGGTACTTCCAACATACAGCTTGCAAAATTTCCTGTGTATTCTTTTTAGCTTTTTATCATAGAGAATTTCTCACATACACAAAAGTAAGCAGAATGATGTGATGAATCCTATATACTTACCAACTAGCTGCAGCAAGGATCAACTCATGGTAAAATCTGTACCATTTATACTTCCTTCCACTCCCCATCCCATGTTATTTTGAAGCAAATCACATAAATCATTTCATCTGTAAATATTTTCCTACATCTCTCTAAAATATGAGGACTCTTTTTTATAGCATCGTGTATGTAGTATGATATAAAAGAGATAATACATATAAGGGCTCCCAAAAATGTAAGCCACAATATCATTTTCACATCTAAAAATAATTCCTTATCAAGTGTCTAGTCAGTGTTCAAATTTCAGCGTGTCTCACAATGTCACTTTTATTTTTAAGTTTATGTATTTCAATCAGAATTCAAGTAAGGCCCACACATTGTGATTGGCTGATATTCTTTTAAGTCACTTAATCTATAGATTTCCACTCCATCTTTCTCTCTTGTTTTCTCCTTGCAATTTGTATGTTAATGATCCCATAGTCTAGAGCAGGGGTCACCAGATAGTAAATAGTTTAGGCTTTATGAGTCACATATGGTTTCTGTTACATATTCTTTGTTGTTGTTTTTACATACCTTTAAAAATATAAAAGCCGGTCTTAGCTTACTAGGCCTAGTTTTACTAGTTTTCTGACCTCTGGTCTATGACTGTACTGTCCAATAGGGTGTAACTGCTGGCCACAGTGGCTATTTAAATTAAAATTAATTAAAGTAAGAATTCACTTGCTCAGACACATTAGTCATGTTTCAAGGGCTCAGAAGCCACACATGCTGGTACAGCACAAGTTATAGAACATTTCCATCAGCACAGGAAGTTGCTGGACAGCACTCATTGAGTTCTCCTTGGTGTAGATGTTGCCAGTTGCATCTCCATGATGTAGTTTTACATGTTCCTCTATCCTCTGTATTTCCTGCAAATTGGAATCCTGTAAGTTATGTCTACAGCTTGTTCAGATTCAAGTTTGATTCCCCCAACCCCACCCCCAGTGGGGGTGCAAACTTCTTTATAGGTTCCCGGATATATTTGAATTTTTAATTTACATATATGCACACATATTTACTTAGACTACTTTGAAGAAATAAATATATTGGGAAAAATTAAGCTTTACTTTATAACAGCTTTTAAGCTTTTAATTAAATACTGTTATTTATTGTAAGACTTACAGTGAAAACAGTTATTTTTAAGATAAAATTGAATTAGTGGAGGTGTCTCTAATGCCACCTTACCAGAAAGGTCCTGTCAATTGATTCATGGGTCTTTATAAACCCACACTTCAAAGGCTATTATGAAGCCAAGTCCTGAGTAGACCACCTAATTCTTTTTCAATGGTGTCAGGATGGTAGGGGATAGTGAGGTTGAGCTAAACAGATGATCAGTTATTTCATAGTTATTTTCATTTAATGGGATGATTACGTAAGGTTGCCTTTTTCAGGATTCTCTGCATTCCCTTTAGATTGAATGCCCTTTTAAAAAATTAAATAAGACATATTTTTGAATTCCCTCTTCTAAAATGAAGCAAAACAAACTCAAACACCACCTTAACTCATCAATTTGCTCTTTCAAATTACTTCTGAAACTAAGTGGTACCTGTAGAATTAGTAGAACTTTGATACCTCCCTATATTGCCATACATTGTTGCATAGATTTAAACTTTTAATCTTTGTGTTAAACTTGAATCTATGAATTTCAAAAGAAAAGAAAAAATGCTAACTGCTTAGATATGCTAGCAGATAATAGAGCTTTTTTTACTTTAATAAAGGCTGTTATTTCATCTTTGGGAGTGTTAGACATAAAACCAGCTGGTTTTAGATACTTGGTTATAATTTAATTCTGAATGGAAAAAACAGATTGTATATACAAATAAATTTTCAAGTAACATTAGGATAAAAATTCTAAAATGCCACATTTCTCCCTAAGTATTATAATTGAATATGATCAATTATAAACAATAAACTGAAGAAAAAAAGGAAATACTATCTTCAGTTTTTGAAATCATAAGCACGAAAAATTGTACTCCGTACTGCTTTAAGATATATAATACCTATCTACACAAAGGGTAAAACCATTTAAGTGCATTCACATATATGATTATTTGATTCTCACAGTGACAACTATATTTTACAATTTAGTAAACTACAGTTAAGTCCTCACTTAATGTCATCAATAGATTCTTGAAAACTGACTTTATAACAAGTTAATTATTTACCCACTTATTCCAGTGCAGGGTTGTAGGTAACCGGAGCCTGTCCTACAGCTCAGGGTACACGGTGGGGACCAGCCCTGGACAGGATGCCATCCCATAGCGGAGCACACTCACACTCAGACCAGCATCGTTTAGACACAACGATTCACCGAACATGGACATCTTTAGGATGTGGAAGGAAACCGGAGGACCCAGAGAAAACCCGTGCAGACATGGGGAGAAGTTGTAAACTCTACCCAGATAGTGGCCTTGACGGGAATCAACTTTTTTTCTCATCATTGGGCATAACAACGTTGAACAAAACAACTTAATTCCAGGACCTGCTGTACTTCTGATTACATTCTTATTACTTCTAAAAAGAATGTAGATCTTATGTCAATTCTTAAAAGGGAATAATGTTACTGCTTTTGGTCTTGAGAATGTATTTGGCATTTTAGTGCAATAACACACCCTGTTCTTATGATTTGAAGCCCTAAATAAATTAAACTTTTCAGGTCCTCTTAATTAATGTGATAGTCATTTTTTCTTTAAATCTGCCTCCCTAGCAAAACAGAGTTTTAAAGAAAGCTTATTGTATAAATGCTTGCCTTGATGTTCGAATAAGTAAGAAAAGATCATTGTACAATTAAGTAACTATAAATTAATATCTAGATCATTAACTTCTTAGATTAAAATCACTGGTCTAGATGTTTGTATCAGTTTACTTGTTTATAGGACTTGAAACTTAAAACCATACATTTTCAGTAAAATATTTTGTTCAGTCCCCCAAGGATCTTGGCAAGGTATTTCATGTCTGTTCAATTGTTTTGTGATGGCTTTAATATCAGATATGTTCTGTATATCAGGTAACAGAATCTGAATTTTTAAGAATTTACTTTTTACAACTTTGTTTTCAATTTCTGAGCATTCTGAGGTATATACTTGAATTGGGAAAAATACTACCTATATAAAAAGAAATAAATTCTAGAAACCAGAAGTTCTTGTTTTGGTTACCTCACTAACCCCTTAAATATTGATTCCAAATCACTCTTCTCCTTTCCCACTTCCTCCCATGATGTCATCATCAGTTCCTCCATCTGTCTTGGTCAACTATATTGTTGGTACCTAAGCTATTATTAATACTATTTGGATTTTCATTGGTGCCAGCCTGGGGCTTCCTCGGCAGAGATTCTCCTTCATCAACCTGGAGTGATAACTCCAGAAATTACCATCTCAAGAGTTTAATTAGACCATGTCAGATCCAAAACAAACCAAAAATCCCTTGGAGTTCAGGTTCCCATGAATGGTAGCTGCCTAAACACATAGGATACCCCAAATTCCCTGGTGCCTTAGTATTAGGAGATAACTTAGAACCATGTCAGTCATCCCATGACACTGCTAAAAAAAGAAACCCAAAACAATCCACATCCATTGTGAACTTAAGAGGGTTGGGTTGACCCTGGAAGATTTCAGATCCCATTGGTATTGGGTACCATTTGTCACACCACTTTAGGCTCCTTATGAGTTTTTTTTCATTTTCCTTTCTTCCCTGATTTTTATCACATATCCATCCTGTCTCCAAAGCCTGTTTCTGTTTGATACATTTATCTTCTACCCATCATCCAATTCCTACAGCCACATGTCTCATTTCTACCTCAGTAACCTATTTCTCCCTCTAGCATCACATTCTACACTCAGTCTTTTATGCCTCTTCCAAAGTGACTTTTTCTGCCCGCTAATTCAGTGCTTTCATAGTTTTCATCAAATGTCTATAATGGTTGGCCATTACCCCTGCAGTATTCAAAATTTTATGACCATTTATCAAGCTAGCCTAAACTACATCATCCATCCGCCTGACACTATCGATCAGCATTATACAGAAAATGTTGCCAAGCTAACTTACAGTTTACTTCAGCCAGGTTTTCATCCCCACTTCTGTATCTGCCCCTTTTGTTATTCATTATGGAATCTCTCTTTCCAAATCTTACAGGATTCTTCCCCAAGTCTTTTAGTAATGCTGGTTTTCATATTCAGTGCTATTGATTGTATCTACAGCTTGTCAGTGCATTATAATATTAAAACTTTAGTTTTCTTCTGGGTTTAATTCAAGTTATTGCCTTATAAATTTTATATTTTAATTCATATGTCAGTGTATATTATGTTATTCAGGATGTATTATTTATGCTTCCTGGTAGACCACAGGCAGATGTTTAATAAATATCCACCTTGGTCTAGATACCTAAGTTGTCCTATGTATTATACCTTTCTTTTGCCCACTTTTAAATAATGCGTGAGGTTTGGTTATATAATTATTGAGCATTTTGTGTTCTATTTTTCTAGTAATGTGTTGTATGTTTACATGTGTGTACTTTACAAGATGTAGCGTAACAAAAGAACTGTTCACTGTGTAAACTTACACAAATTATTTAACCTGTCTAATCCTCAGTTTCCAACTATGTAAAATGAGGATGATAAAATTTACCTTAGAGCATTGTTATAAGGATAAGGGGAAAAATATGTATTCAGAGTGCCTGGTACAATGCCTGACAAACGAGAGATGCTTCAGGAATGGTCCCTTTTATTGTTAATCTAAATGCTGTGACTAAATTGATACAGGGGGAAAAAGAAAATGGTGTTTACTGACACTGGGCTACATTAAAATCTGTTTTTCTATCTCTAGGTTGAATATACTTCAGGAAAGGTTTTTTTTACCACCTGTTCTGATGTGAATATGCTGAAGAAATTAAAATCTGCAGAAAGGTTATTTTTACTTATTAAAAAGGAGTTTCCACTTGCTATTTCTTCTGTAAGAAAAGGTATGATGTTTGCCTGTCCCTTTTACCCACATGATATATTGTACTCAAGTTTTCTGCTTGATAAATAATATATAGCCATTTCACATTTTTAAGATTCAGTCACATGTGCGGGATGATTAATTATGTATTTTTCTGTATTTCCTGAATATCATCACCTGATTGAAGTAGAATCTGTCTCTTCTCTTTGCAACCTGCTGCCTTTCTTGAGAGATTTTAGTGTCCTAAATCACATTTCTTCTTTGAGAATATGATCAGCCATCTTCTCTAGGGATATATATGGTCAGTTGCATTTATTTCAGTTTAGAAACATGTAATAACCCAAAATACATTATTTTAATAGTAAATTGGTGCAAACTGTTACCTTTTAAATTTTAGCTGAGTGATGGAATTGGAAAAATAGTACATTGTAAAATTTTCTATTTCTGGGAACTTAAGTGTTTTCAATAAACTTATATCCATTTATCAAACATTAGAGCTAAAGTGGGCATAAGAGATTTCTTGTCCATTCCCTAATTTTATAAATATACTGCTAAAATGAATTAAGGATCTTGATAAAAGCAGCCTTAAACTTTGGTTTGATTGCTCATTGTGCACAAGAGATCATGTAATTATATAGTCTGTAATAACCTATTTCAATAAAGATGCAACTGGCATGAAATCAAGACCAAGCAGAAAAAATTGTTTTGAAGCAAAGCCCAAGCTCTTATACTCTGGGGTCAATATAATTTCTCCCGGTATTCTACACATATCTTTAGGAAACTAGAATAATAATTTTTGGATCATCTTGATGACCCTTGTTAATCAAGAAAATACTAAATTTTGCTGAGCATGCTGGCAGTCTCTAAGTTATGAATGAGTGTGTATCTGAGTTTTACAATTCTTTTTTTTTTTTTTGAGACACAATCTAGCTCTGTCACCCAGGCTGGAGTACGGTGGCATCATCATAGCTCACTGCAGCCTTAAACTCCTGGGCTCAAGTGATCCTCCTGCTTTAGCCTCCTGAGTAGCTGGGACCACAGGCATGCATCACCACATATGGCTAATTTTTTATTTTTATTTTGTTAGAGACAGCATTGCACTGTGTTGCCCAGGTTGGTCTGAAACTTCTGGCCTCAAATATCTTCCCACCTCGGCCTCCCAAAATGCTGAGATTATAGGCATGAGCCACCACACCTGGCTCCTATTCTTTTTTTTTTAGAGTTAATTTTTATAGGTAAGATCATCATTATTTCAAAGATTGATATACACTTTAGGTCTATGCATATTTTGAAGAGATTCATATATTATCATAGGACAAATGTCCTTGTTTAAGTATTATATGGTAATTCTGTAAAAATTTCAACACAATTTTGATACTGTATTTGCAGTATAAGAATGAACTTTTTTCTGTACAATATTCTTATGACAAATGGAATGTAAATTCCAAATGAAAGTGAAATTATTCATATAACAACTTAATAAAAGTGATTTTAAAGAAATAAAGGTGATGGAATTTGGGAGTGATGAATGTAATAGATGATCTTTAAAGCTTCAACATAGGATAAACTGAGATTTTATTTATTTAGGAAAAATATTTAATGAAATGCAAAGACTTATAAATGATCCAGGAAGTTGGTTGAATGCCATTTCAGTTTGGAAAAAGCTTCTTGAACTTGATGCAAAAAAGGAAAAACTTTCTCAAAAAGATGCTAACCCACTAAAAAGAAAAGTGGGAGAAAATGAAATCATCATTGCTAAGAAATTAAAAATAGAACAGCTGCAAAAGATAGAGGACAATAGGGAATACCAGATGGAAAAACAAATAGAAGAAGAAACTCTGGAGCAAAGAGATTTTATCACCAAAAGAGAAAAATTTCAAGAAGAGGAATTTCAGAATGATACAGAGAAAGCAGCTATTACTCATAACCAGAGCAACTTGACTTTCAGAGTTTCTTGTCGCTGCAGTGGAACTGTTGGAAAGGCGTTTTCTGCACAGGTATGCTTACATTAAAAGTGGGGTTCTGTTTTTTAAAAGAATTATTCTTTGGATTTAAAATGAGATGCAAACCTGTAACGGAACAGATAACTTAGACCAGGTAGAGAATTAGGCCTATTTTCATATTATTAGCTACTTTAAAAATGCATTTTCCTGTTTAATTTTAAGAGAAATGGTATGCTATTCCATGTAATAACGTTGTTTTACTTTCTGCCTGAAAGTTTCCTTAAACTCATAGATGTCATTTGCATTTGTAAATCCTGATTTCACAAACCTGAACTTTTACGGCTTCTCTTCAGTTCTGTGCTCAATTAGGTGGCTACTCTGCACCAGGCCCTTTATATGGGATTGTCACTGGAACCTAGACTACAAATACACAAGTACACGTGAGGTCTCAACAATCTAGGGAGGAGTGAATGCCACAAACAGTTGGGGGTGGGGCAGGTAAAATGCAGCCTTATTGCCTTGATAGAAGATGCTTTTGCATAATGTTTTAATGTCAGAACCCTAAATTACCATCAGATAGTCTGACTTGATTTTCCTGTAGGCTACTCTGTTTTTGCTTACATTAAAACTTAAAATTTTTTATTTTTGGTGTTCTTATCTTTTAACTTGCTACTTTTCCAGGAGGTAGGAAAAGTAATTGGAATTGCTCTTATGAAACAGTTTGGATGGAAAGCAGATTTGAGGAATCCAAATTTAGAGGTAATGAATATTTGTTTTATTTTATATACTTGTAACCTAATCTTTAAAGACAGTGTCATCTATTATTATTATTGTACTTTTCAGTTTTACTTTATAGTTTTAGAGTTTTACACAGCATGTCTACATGGATCCAGCAGTTTATTGTCTCCAGCAGAATGGTGCAGATAATTTTGCTAGTAGTTTTCACTGTGAAAACATCCAAACTCCAAAAAAAAGACTTTTTGAATGGAGTTATTTGGTCACAGTTGAAGAAAAAAAACATTTGTTATGAGGTTACAGAGATGCTCTCTACAATCTCTATAAATCATACAAGTCTGTTTAATAAGTCTCTTTTAACATCTAGCTGATGTTAAAAATAAGGCCTGCACAAAATCCAATAGTATGTTAATAGTGGCTGTGTTAAGGTTATGAGATTATAGGCTTTTTTTCTATATTTTCAAAATTAATAAGGCTATACTATTCCTTTTCTTTTTTTTTCCTGTGGTTGGAGAAACCCTAGCATAGATTATACAATATATATGCCTAAAGGCACATTAATTGGAATTATTAATGGAAAAAGGAGTCATAATTTGACTATATAACTCACGGGATGAATTTCAGATATGGAGAGTTATGAATCTCAAGGTCTATATTACTTTCAAAATAATGAGAACCCTGGTTAAAAGCTATCAACATCTGCTTTAGCTAGCAAACCTAGAGTCCATGATAATCTATATTAGCATATAGAGTTCATCAGCATCAATGCCTAAAACCTGTTAATGTGCAAAGAAAAATAATGGAAACAGAAAATTAAGTTGTTATTTTGTCTAAAACCCAATCCTACTCAAAGAAAGAAGCAGGCTTAGGAGCCTCAACTCTATACCCTCCTTACTCTACACTTTCTTCAAGATCATCGACCAGGCTCGAACTTCATACTTCAACCTTCAAATGTTCCTGGATATAAAGCAAGAAATAGTGATTTAGGGTAAACCCATTCATTACTATCATTCAGAGGGCTAAGTCCTCCAAATTCAGTAGCATAACCCAGGTTACACTATTTTTAAATTTACTTGTTAAGTAGTTTTAGATGGAGTAATAGCTAGCCAAATCAGAATATTTTGCGTTGCTTAGTTTTTAAATTTCCTTTTATCTGATTTTCACTTTTAAAAAGTAATACCCAGTGTATATTTTTAATTGCTTGTCCTGCTAAATATCTTGACCCTAAGAATGTTTCAATGTGAGAATATCTTTCTCCCATCTCCCCTGAGTCCGTCTGTCTCAGAATTAGTTTTCCCATAGATTAGCTCACAAATAAATATAGCAAATTCAATTCCTATCAGCCATTTAATGCAATTAATAATAGCTATTATTGGTAGAAATCAACACAAAATTGACAACACTAAAATCACATATGGTAAAATTTGTGACCAAAAATTGACAGAAGAATCAAATCTTAACAAATTTTGTTCTGCAAATTGATAGGAAAAAAATTTATAGTGAGAAGCTATTTTTGATAACATTTGATTATAAGTGTATCTTTACTATAAATTATAAATATAATTCTAATAAATTTGCTAAAATATATATAAAATTAGAAAGTTTAGCTATGATGTATCATTTTTGATTGTGGAATTAAATTGGCCAAATGGAGTCACTTCAGATAATTCTTTTCTTGATGAAAATGTATTAATATGGGAATAATTATATTAAAAATAATTTTGGGGTGAAAGTACTAGGGATTAAATGGTCTTGAGGTTTAAAACAATATTTTGAATATTTTGTAAACCTTATTAGACTACAAAAATAAGAAAGATTCTAACTTTTAAAATTTTGTGAGCTACTAATTATAACTCAAGACATTTAAATCCTCTTCATGTCCTAACAGAAGAAAGGAAATGAAGAGAGGCAAAAGCTCACCTACAGACAGTAGAGAGAGAAAAGGATACTCTTGCTCCCATGTATTTGGCCTAAAGAAGGTTGGTTTTCTGTTACCCTGAAAGTAGCCTATGATAGCCCCGTGTGGCCTGAGTCTTGTTTGAGGTTAGAATCAGGGTAGATTTAGGAAATCTTCTCTAACCCAAAATGCTGAAAAGCCTGATCCAGTTATGACAATTTAAAGAATCTCTGGGGAGAAAGTTGATCTTGAGTTGTTTGTAACACGATTCTCCATGTAACTTCTATACCAAATTTACCTCAGAATTGTTCTATGAAATGTAATTAAAATTTAGCTCACCTCTACTTGTGAAAAAAAGATTATGGAACATTTTTCCAGATATGACAAATAAGACCTTGGAATTTCTTATTAAAATATAGGTCATAAAAGTTCAAAATGGAAATTTTCAAATTGTCAATACTTTAGTAACGCATTTTCTTGTTCTGTTCTAACTTCTGTGTTTGTTCTTTCAGATCTTTGTACATCTAAATGACATTTACTCTGTGGTGGGGATTCCTGTGTTCAGGTAGAGATTGTATTCTAAGCTTCAGGTTTGTCCCTTAGGAGAGTTTGTAAAATTAAGAACTTTATGCTTTTTATTTATAGTATGAAACATTGATATAGCAGAGGAAGTTCACAGCAAAGCATTTGAGTGGAGTTCTTTTCTTAAGCCAGTAAAGTATTTTCATGAAGCTTAGTAGATATGACTTGAACTAAGCAGTTAGAGCTGTGAAATATTTGATCACAGTAATCCATTAGTTACATGATTAGTACTGAAAATTATATCTAATTATTTCTATTAAATGATATTCACAGGCCCATATTTAAGCGAGGATTTTTAGTCCGTTGGCATCTTGCAATTTTAATTAACATAGAAAATGTGGCACAATTCTTTAAGTTCACCTTGAGCATTCTCCACATTTCATTGCCATTATTCTTTTATTGTGGAGAGGTTATTACTAGTTTTTAAAATATTCAGACATGCAGAGTACTAAATAATAAATGCAAATAATTTGTTTCTTTATTCAGAAATATTTATTGAACTCTTATTGTGCAACGAGTACTTTTTCTAGATGCTTTGGGGAGAAAGAGCTGGTTGGATGAAAGGAGTGATTTTCAGTTTCTCGGGAGCATGCATATATTATGGGCATCTTCAAAATATTTTATATGCATAACCCTGCTTACATAATATAAAGTCATTTAGATACCCTTTTTCTAGGTGATTCTAGGCATGGAATGTTTTAAGATCATAAAGGTCCTATGGGAATACTGCATTTGCTTAAGCTCACATTTATGTGTATGTAAGGCCAAATCAGGATGTTTAAAAAAATGCTTACGAGTATTATAGTAGCTTTTATCTAATGGTGAGCTACAACAGTTGATGAGCACAATGCTAAGAGCATTGTAGATGTCCAAGCAATGTTGAACAATTGAGTTATTGCTGTATGCTAGTCATATGGTAGGCTCCACTAGCATCTAGATTGCAAAGATCACGAGCTAAAATTTCTTGTTGCCATGACATTGTGAGGTCATCACATCTCAATGACCCCAATACTTTACAAGTTCTTCCAGACCAAACCTAACCTGCTCTCTTACACCTATAGCTAAAAGCTTTCCAGGCTGCCCCACTCCAGTGCCTAATCCCTGTAAAAATGTTCGTAAAACTGATTGACTTAAATTTGAACCATTTTGCCTATTTCGCTTTTTAAAATTCCATAATAGCTAACGGAAAGGGTGGGAAACTGAAAGATGGCTATATTTCAACAATTACAAGAAGTATAATTATTGATGGTCACCAAGACAAGGGTAGGAAAGACTAGCAAAACAAGCAAAATATGAAATATATTTTTAAAAAATTTATAAAGTACTTAAATGTTTTTAATACTTTAACCCCCCAAAAGGTGAGCCTAAGTGTCTAGAAAATTGACTTATGTGGAACATCTCATCCCTAGCAGTGCTGAGTATAGCGCTAATATATTTGGATTCTTAGCACCAAAAAAAGAACTGATTTTTAAATTTTTAATTATGTATAAAAATGCTAGATTTTGTGTTCTTTTATTTAACAAATATGTATACCTTATATTAATGTTTTTTTAAAGATGTTAAACTTTATTATTTAAAATCATTTGAATGCTTGCTAGAAACACTCAAGTCATGCTAATGGCATCTCAAGTAGTAATTGGCAATGTACCTAAAAGTTTACAAATACGTATCTGAAAACCAAGACTCAGATCTTGAATGTACAGTGGTTGAAAATAACGTTACAATAGATGCTCTGTGATAAGTCAGTTTGACTACGTCAGTGTAGGAAGGAAGCAGTCTCCGTGTGTGTCAGCGAAAAAGAGTAATTTGCTGGGATTTGAGGAAAAGGGAATCATGAAGACTTGAACAGCAGATAGCATTGGGCAAGAAAAATGGCAATGGATATCAGAAACTGCAACCTGGTGACCCTACCAACAGAAGACAGTCAGAAATGATGAAATAAAGTTTAGAGCAGTCATGAAGTTTGAGGGTCATGTAAAAATTTGTATCTTAGTAGTTTTTAAAGACAGTGTTCATATTAGAGGTCTGCTTTCTTTAAAGAAAAGAACCATCTGGATATCAATAGTCCCATAGGGCATTAATTGAATATAGCTATGCAACACTGCACACATCACCTAGTACAGTATAGCATAGGGGATAAGAACTTGGACTTGAATTCTACCTTTTCCACAAATTAGCTATGCAAGTTTGGGCAAATTATCATATTTCTCTGCTATAATGTCAGGAAAATAATAGTACCTACTTTATAGCTTTATGGTTGGGATTAAATTAGATAGCCCATGTGAAAATACTTAGTACTGTTTCTAAGATACAGTAAGTGTTGAATAAATTTCAGCTGTTTTATTTTTGAAACAGTTAATCAACTAAGAAATTCAATTAATTTCATTTGAAACATCCATTGTATATGTACTATATGCTAATATTGTGCTAGATACCCAGTGTTCAAAGATGAGTAAGATGGTTATTAAGTTCAAGAAGTTCAGCATGGTGGTAGAACAAACATGATAAATGCTTGACTAAAGTTAAGAAAGAGTTAACTAGAGTTAACTCTTTTGGAGAACAAGTGAGCAAAGGAATTTAAAGGAGTGATACTTAAGGGGATACTTAACAGTAATAATAAGTAAGGGTTTGCCAAGTGGACAAGAGAAGCAGAGGATGTTGCAGGCAGGGAGTAGCTTATGCAAAGGCAGCGGGGTGTGAGGAAGTTTGATTTATGTGGGGGGATGGCAAGTAGTTTCTGATGGGACAAAGAATGCTTAGGGAGAATGGTAAAAAATTAGGCTGAACAATCAGAAAGGTCATGAGGTGTCTTGTAATCCTGATAATCAGCTTGGGTTTTATTCTAGACACAGTAAGAATTTGAAGCAAAGGAGTTATATGATCAGATTTGTGATTTCAAAAAATTACAAAAGAAATTATATTTAAAAATGAAAGAAATATAAAGAAGGAGATGGTTTAAACTCTTGTTAAATAGTCAAGGCAGGCCGGGCGCGGTGGCTCACGCCTGTAATCCTAGCACTCTGGGAGGCCAAGGCGGGCGGATTGTTTGAGCTCAGGAGTTCGAAACCAGCCTGAGCAAGAGCGAGACCCCATCTCTACTAAAAAAATAGAAATTAATCGGACAACTAAAAATATATAGAAAAAATTAGCCAGGCATGGTGGCGTATGCCTGTAGTCCCAGCTACCCGGGAGGCTGAGGCAGAAGGATTGCTTGAGCCCAGGAGTTTGAGGTTGCTGTGAGCTAGGCTGACGCCACGGCACTCTTCCCCAGGCAACACAGTGAGACTCTGTCTCAAAAAAAAAAAAAAAAAAAAAAGTCAAGGCAGTGAATGGTGAGGAACTGAACTAAGGCAGAATGGTGGGTAACAAAAAGACCTTGAATTCAAGAAAAAGTTAAGGAGTCTAGAATACCTGGTATCTGATTTGGGCGACTACTAGATACTGGTGTTAGTCACTGAGATAAAAAATGTAGGGAAAGGCAAGAGTGTATTCAGTGAACAATGTCCAAGTAGATATTTAAAGTTATAGATCTGGAGTTCAGGTGAGAAGTCTACACTGAAGATGTAGATTATGGTACCCAATATATGGATAGTAAGTGACATAAGAAAATGAAGAAGTGTATCAAGATATGAAATTCTGGGAAAGGAGAGCATGTTCATTTTATACCTTTTGACTTTGCACTACTTAAACTCCAGATAAAAATGCCTACGCGCCTATTTGAAGATAAAGATTTAGGCGTCAGGTGATAAGTCTAGGCTAGAGATATAGATTAGCATGTCTTTGTGTTGGTGATACATGGTGTGTAGGAGAATAGAGTGGAAATGCATATATGTGGAGATGATTAAAAACCACATTTATTTTTGTACTATGTAAAAGCCAGCTAAAATCTGATTAAAAAGATTAGCCAGATTCTATGAAAGTAGAACATTATTTTTATTTTCAAGGTGTTTATTTCTCAACACTGCCTTCCCCCAAATAATTTTATTATGCTGATATCATGAGGCCTTTTTGTTGCAGTAATAGCAGATCAATTTTGGCCAGGTGTAAGCCTAGTAAGAACACATTCACTTTTGTCACATATTAATAGAAATGGCTCCCATAAATAAAATTTGCATTAGTAAAAATATATATGTAATTTTGAAAACTTTCAAAGGTTCCACATAAATCCCTGTTGCATAGAGGAGCACTTTGTAATATATGTGGACAAAGATAGTTTTCTGTATTGCATCTACTTTTTTTGGTATCTAGAGTACAAACTAATGTGTTTTGCAGCAAGATAATTGCCAAGTTTACACTGTAGAAGTAAAATTCATTGACCAAAATATTTTAGTCTTTCTGTTAATACGTGCCAGTTTACATCCTTGATTCTAAATGTATGGATATAGTACTGTTGACAATGCAAATTGTTATTTCCTGAAAAAAAACTTTATTAAAACACCAAACTCCCATGTGTTTACCATGCAAAACTTCCTCATTATGACAGTGTGTATACAACTGTACTGTTTATTTGAGAAGGACGTATCATCTAATTTTAAGATTTTAAGAGGCTTGCAATAAATATAAAAATGGGATAACTTAAAGTCAAAGAAAGATGGGAAACAAAATGATGAAAGAAACAAATGTTCTGTCGTAAGTCTTTAAAAAGGGTTTGAAGAACATTGTGGCTTTGTGTAACGTTCATAGAAGAGCCCTCTTAGTGGTTTTGGAGCATGCCTACCCTAAATCAAACCACAAATTCTTGAAATCATATTTTCATATCTTACCAACAAATTGTTAGAAGTGAACTAAAAAAGCACACTGAAATTTCCAAGGAGATGCTGTTTGTTCATTGCATGAGAAAGGTAGAAGTAATGCATGATATTTTAAAAGTTTCTGTCAAATCTGGAAGCACTCGTAGTAGCAGTGTTGAGATGGAGGATTAAGTATGAAATTGCACATGATGGAGACCAGTGAACTCATTTGGGAGATGTCTGCTTCAGCCCTTCGTTCAGCAAATTATTTTAGACAATGCAATGTCATGCTTCATTTCATCTTATAAGAAAGATGCAAATGAGCGGAAAGCAAACTTACAAAAGGGACTTTTTATAGAAAACAGATTTTAAGGGTTAGCATCCATTCAGCCCTGCTTCCCATCCTACATCTGTATCACAGAACAGTATGTTCCTCTTCATGGCTCCAGATGGCAAGAAAAGGTCTATTCCATATAGGAAGACAGGAAAGTATAAAAGATTTTCTTCATGTGTGATTAAATTTTATAAATTAAACACATTAAATTTCATTTGTCTAAAAAATTTACTTTTCTAAAATACCACACTGGCTGGTTAGACAAAGTGCCCATTAGATAAAGTATTTTTGTAATAAGGTTGAAATAGTCTCTAACTTAGGGAATACCTTAGTGTATGTTGGATGAATATGTTAAAATGATTGTCAGATATGGACAGGTTAATCATTTTTATTTATATCCTGTTCTTTAACATATAGTAATATCTGATATGTAATCAGGTTCTTTTCTTTGTAGAGTTCCTTTAGCCAGCAGAGCTTACATCAAGACGGCTGGGCTGAGATCTACCATAGCATGGGCAATGGCATCTCTCGCTGAAATTAAGGTAAGAACCGTGTTTCATTCATGTTCATAGCAAGTCTTTCCATAGTTAACTTATACAGTCTCTCATTGATGGACATTTTGTTTACTTGCTTTTTCTTATCTTTCTTTTGCTGTTCTTGTTGGCATTAACTGCTGCAGCAATGTTTTTATATATTGAACTTGTCAGAGTATTTTGGCTATGAAAAAAACTGAGTCAAAAAGTTAGCTACATTTTATTATTTCTAATTTGTTGTGTCACAATGAGAAAATGTGGCCTTAAAACCTCTACTTCTTAAAATTAAAGTTTTTCTCTGTAACCAAGATCTTGATCGATTTTTTTACTGTTCTATGAACATAAGAAATTTTATTTTCTAGTAAAGACATGTTCTCTATTATTTTTACTTACTATGTTACTATCTGCTCCATTCTTAAAGGTATTTTGAAATCTTACTATATTTTTTTAAAGTTTTGCATTTTTATTGTTGAATTATTCAGCTGCTGTGTAGTTTAGTATATACACGTTTATGACTGTTAACTACGTAGTGTTTCATAAAGTCCTTTTTATCTTGATTAACGAGTCTAAACTTAAATTGCACCATCTTACTAATATTTTCACTCCATTTTGTTTGCATTAGCCTAGTATTTCATTGCCACTGCTTTTTTTTTCCCCCCCCCCCAGTTTTAAGTATTTTCTTAAAAACCCACAGCTATTCTTATCCCCACTCGGATGATCTGCCTTTCAGTGAGAGAATTCAGGAAGTGTTATGACAGATACACTTGATTGTATTCCTCCTATTTTTACTCTATCCATAACTTCTTACATTGTTTACTTCTGTTATTTTTGCTAGTTTGATCAAGTTACTTGTTAATCATTCCATTGTTCTCCCTGAGGTTGGAGATTCTACTTTATTGTTCTATTCCATTAAGTTCCTTTTCCTAGGTGTCTTAATTAAACACATACGACTCTGCTCTAACTTCAAAACAGAACATCAACTGTCTCCTCTGCCAGGATACACTGTTCTTAGCACCCAGGCACTCTGATTTCCCTCAACTTCCCCCCTCTTCCCTGTCATAAGATGAGACCTTTATTTTTTTTTCCTCTTCTCACCTTTATTCCTCCCTACAATGAGACTTTTGAAATATTTTTACCCTTTCCTCTCCGAACCCCCAACTATTAGATTGAATCAAATTATTTATTATGTGTTGGAACTTCCTTTAAAGTGTGCCCCTTCTGTTTTAAAAATTCTTAGTTACCACTGATATTACACAGCTTATCCTTAATCATTAAGGTAGAACTGTGTGTAACGTGCATTACTTTATACACACACAAAGATACATTGCAGGGTGTATGGCTCATGACCATGTTTTGTTCTCTTCATCTTTCCCCATTTGAGTCCTCTGTTCTGGTTTACTTGTTGTTTGGTTAAAAGCCTTTGCTTAGATATTTTCCTCAGATTAATATTTGAACAATATATTATCTGAATTCCCTTATATCATCAAATTTCTTTTCATCCTGGGTATACCCATCTTAACTGGGTATGTGATTCCTGAGTTGGCAGTTTTTTTCTCCCATTGTCTGTGAGCTTCCAGTGTTATAAATGAGCAGGCCATGACGGTGGGCTTCTTCTTTTCCTTTATAGCTACTTTATTCTTTCTGCTTCGAAGCTTGTAAGATTTTTCTCTTTAATCTTAGAGTTCAGGAATATTAGCACAATATGCTTGTGTATGTGTCTTTTCTTTTCAGCCCAGCCTTGGTGAGTGTGACTGCCTGGATTCTAATTCTGGCTCCACCACTTACTGGCTGGGAAGCTTTAAGCAAGATACTTAGCATCTCTGTGCCTCAGTTCCTTGTTTGTAAAATGAAAATAATATATCATAGGATCATGACAGGATTAAATGAAGTAGCATTAATAAAGTGATTGTAACAGTGCCTTGCATCTAGATAGTGTCTAAGTATTAGCTTCAATTATGGTAATAATAATTAAAATTATAATATTTATTATTTGGAATTTATAGTAATTATAAAAATTACTATGTCTCCAGCCCAGGCACTCTTTCTTCCATTATTTATTTAATTATTATTGCCTCAACTTTTTAGTAAATTTAACTTTAAACTGTTTTCTTTTTTCTACTTCTGAAATTCCTGTTGTAAACATGTTAAGCTTCCTGGCTCTGTCTTTCAAATTTCTTATTCTTTCTCACATGGTTTCCATCTCTTTATATGTTGGCTTTGCATTTTGAGTTATTCTTGAACATTGTAATCCAGTTTTTAACAAGAGTCACAGAGATATGGTCTGTTTTAACTAGTTTATATTTCTAGTTTAAAAACCATGGATTTTTTTAGCCTCCGGAAGGTGTGTGTGTTAAATTTGAGTATTTCTAAATCTTTTACTTTTTATTCAGTTATTTAATTGTCTCCTCCAATAGTTAGTAGTTCTGTTTCAGTAGTTAGTAGTTTACTAGGTATGTGTTCTGATTATTCTGCCTGTTTACTCTCTAGCTACCGAGGAACCCTCGCCCCTTAAATGTGCCATTATTTTTTCTTTGTTGGCTCACTGGAGCTAAAATGTGGTTGTTTAAGTATTTTAAATGGACAGAATCCTGTAAGTGGTAAAAGGCAAATGGATCTGTAGCACCCCTGGGCTCAGCAGTATATGGAGAATCTGTCAGCCCTGCTGAGACACCTGGAGGAAACATCTAAATTCACTAGTGTCCCTTGGGGTCCATAGATTTCTGAAGACCAGGCTCTCGTCTGGTTCCACGGTTTCTCCCTCCCGGGCTCCAGTGCTGTTCTCTAATCACTCACCCACCCCACGGCAAGGAGGACCCATACTAGTTCCTTTTCCTGGGACCCCAGCAGAGCCCAGGGTTTCTCTTAGCACCAGTTGCCTCTAGATCTCGCTCAGTGAAAGGAAATAGCTTTGAGTTGGGAATAGAGGAGAGAGCTACTTTGAGATTACCATGTAACTATGATTTGCTTTTTTGTTTGGTTTAAATCTTCGGTCCAAATTTCTTTTAGTAAAAGGAGAGAGGTACGGTTAATTTTTTTCCAAAGTGCCAGTGGTTTCACCACAGTTTATATTCAAATATAAATTGACACGACCACCTACAAATTTGAAATGTTACCGTTGTCTTGATATAAACATAAAAATATCCAAAAATAATACTCTATAAAATTTTTCCTTACTGTGTATTTGCCCTGCTAATACCAAGAGTAAGAAATGTCTCTAAACGTGACCACTGGCAAAGGAGGTCTGTTAAAGCACGTAGCAACAGCACAGCAGAGTTCCTTTGGAGGGAAGGTAGTGATGACCCACAGAGGAAGCTATCCCAGTATCCAGCCTCATCCAGTGCCCTCTTCAGAGCTCAGTTTCCAGAGCATGCACAGACAGCTCAACCTTGGGTAGGCCAGCGCCTCTAAAAATGGAATTTGAAAATGGGGATGTTAGATGTTTTTCATGTTCACTATAAATTATTTTCCTTCCTACATATCATAACAAGTAAGGAAAGTCAGGTTCAATAAATCTTAGTTATTTTTATAAGAATAAAGAAATACTTTTCTGCTTCAGCCTATATCCACAAATGTCATGGCTAGAAAAGGTCCTAAGGTAAAATAAAGACATTTAAAGATAGCTCAGGTCATATTATTATATCATTGAACACAGACCATGGGGTGGGGGTATGGGAAAGAGCACAGTCTCTGGTACATTTTGAGGTCTTAATAAAAGTTAGTTCCCATACCATTATTAATTTTAAACAGGACTGCCATTTAAATTATTATTCCTTTTGTTACTCACTGCCCCTTCATGGGGGATCCATAAGATATTCTCTTCAGAATTTAGTGCCAGGGGAAAGTTTCTCTCTTCTGAAGAACATTTTTTTCTTTCTCTTAGGTACCCTATGGGCTCTGACTGAAACCTGGCTGTCCACTGAGGACTCCGCCTCCTCTGTAGACATACCAAGTGGTAGATGGCTTTTCTCCCACAGCCTGAGTACACTGGGCCTGAAGGTGGGTAGGTGTCCTGCTTGCCACCATTGCCCGTTGTATAATAGATGATTGTTTCTTTCCTTCCGTCCAGAACCTCTCAGTGCCTTTGAAGCACATTCCATCAGATTGTCCTAGTCATATACAGATCTCTCTCCATCATTCCTGTAAGAGTGTGGGCCATTATTCCTGTCTTAATTCCTTATGATCTCCATAACCACCCAATAACCTGCCTTTAGTTTCTTGGCTTCGCTACCTATAATGATCTGCCTCAGTCACATCCTAGACCTTGTCATACCCAGAAAGGTATTCATTCCAAAAATCGCAGTTTTGGGAATCCTGTTCTTAACCTCTTTCTCTTTCCTGCTGGCTTCCTCTAGTCCCCTGTCACAAAACCCTCAGCCCCACAGGGACCTCCAGTCATTTGACCTGACCACTGTCCTTTACCTAGCACCTGTCCTCATCCCTCCTTGACAGCTTGGCTTTTATGTTCTAGCATTATAGTCATTTTCTTGCCCATACTTTTAACTCTCTTGCTTCTTACTTGACTTAAATATTAGAATCAGAAGAGAGCCTCAACGTGTTTTTCTCACCAACTCTATGAATATATAAGAATCTGTGTCCACATGTTCTGCCTTATTGTCATTACAGTAAGTGAACTGTCCCTATTCCACCCCAATACTTGTCTACTGGATTCCATTTTTCTTGCGTACTTAGGGACTTTTCTCTCTACTGGGTCACTCCCATTAGCTTGGACACCTGATAAAATCTTTCAACTTAAATAAAAACCTCTCCTGAACCCACATGTTCCTTCAGCCGCCACCCCTTTCTCTGTTTTACTTCACAGAAAAACTCTTAAAAATAATTGTCTGTATTTGCTGTCTCTACCTCCTTTCTTCCCATTCTCTCTTGTACCTACTGCCACAAGGCTTTATCATCAATACTCCACCGGAACTGCTCATCTTAGCATTCTGACACCCTCTTAGCACTTTGACACTGTGGTCGCTCTCCTTGTTGAAACAGCTTCCTCACCACTCTAGGTCCTGCTCCTGCGTCAGTGTGTGCTGCTTCTCAGCATGCACGGCTGGATCTTCATCTTCCAAGTGTCTATGTGTAGGGGATCAGCAGGGCCCAATCCATAGACTTCTCTTTTTTAACTTATGTTGTTTCCTAGATGATCACTTCCACTTCTGATGCTTTAAGTACCATTCATAAACTGGCTGATGCTCACTGTTCCCTAATTCATATCTGTATCCTGGACCTCTCCCTTGACTTCTAGACTCATATGTCCAATAACTCACTTGACATCTGAACTTGGAGCTGTAAGAGGTATCTTGAGATTAACATGTCAGGTCTTGTCTCCCTTAAAGCTTCTCCCAAACCCTTCCCATCTCAGAAACAGGCAACTCCGGTCTTCCAGTTTCTCAGGTCAAAAACTTCAGTCATTCCAGACTGTTGTCTTTAACATTCCATGTCCAATCCATCCTTTTGGCTCTTCTTTTTAAAATATATCAAGAATCCTACTATTTCTCACCACTTCCACCAATACCAGTCTTAATTCAAACCACCATCAGCTCTTGCCTCCCTAACACTCTTACCCTTCTGTGTTCTGCTGTCCACAGAGCAGCCAGAATGATCCCTTTGAAATGTAATGTCACGTGACTCCTCTACTCAAACCCTCCAATAATATCCCATCAGTCAGAATAGAACCAGGATCTTCACAGTACCTGCAAGATCTGACATGATGTGATTCCCAGAGTGGGACTAAGTAGTTTTTCTTCCAAATTTCCTATTTTCCACCCAGGTACAGGTAGGATTATCCTTTCCTTGACCCTTGAGACTGTGTGCCATGTGACGAGCGTGCTTTAGCCAGTTAAATGTTGGTGGAAGAGATGTGTGTTACTTCCAGGTGGCCCTTTTCTGAGTCAGTGCACAATTTGTCGTGCTTTCTTCCCCTCTGCCATGGTGAGGGCAGCACCCCAAATGGTGATTGCTTCATCAGTTTGGGTTCCAGAGCAAGGAGCAGAGGCCCCAAGTGCCCTCCTGTGGGCATGTAGCATAAGCTACATGTTGTTTTAAACCTCTAAGGTCTGGGGGTCATTACGAGATGCAGCACACTCCAGCCGATCTTGTTGGAATCCCCTGGCTATGTCTCTGGTGCTGTCACCACCTTTTCCCAAAGCTCACTGTGCTTCTGCCACAATGGCCTCCTTCCTAATCTTTAAACATGCTGAGCACACTCTTGCTGTAAGGCTTAAAGTACCTGAGATTCCTAATAAAGTATAAAAAGGAATCTTTACTCTTAAAAGATTGATTCCTCAAGTTTCAAGTTTCTTTGATAACAGCTACTGTGGTAAAATTAATATTTATTAATTTATTTTATAATGATAATTTATTAATATTAATACCAAATTAATATTTCTGTCTATAGGCTGGTGCATTTGTTTTAGATCCAATGTGTGGACTTGGAACAATACTTTTGGAAGCTGCTAAGGAATGGCCAGTAAGTTCTCAAGTTTGGTAAACCAAGCAATATATTTCCTTTAATCAGTATACATGTAGTCACCAGTTATTTACAAGTAGATTGTCTATGTGGGGATTATTATTTTTAATTAATAATTATGAGTTATCCACTATAGTCAAAATAGATTATGAGGGATTAAATCGCTGTGTTATTTTTTTAAAATACTGTAATAACTTCAGGAAAATAGGACAGAATTCCAGTAATTAGCCATGGCCCAGATTATGCTAATGTCTAAATTCTTTAGGCATTTGTAATTGTAAAATATTAACAGATTTTTAAATTTTAACAAAAAACTTTCCATTTTTTGCTATTAAATATCATTTTAAAAGAATAAATTTGTTTTAACCTGAATTTTAAAGTCTATTGATTTCATTTTCATCATTTGAGAAAATGCAAATAGATTTTATTAACTACATAAAAAGTATGTAGTAGTTTTATTTATACTTAAAATATGAATTTCTTTCCCCATAGGATGTGTATTATGTGGGTGCTGATGTCAGCGACTCACAGTTATTAGGTGCATGTGATAATCTGCAAGCTGCAGGCCTTAAGGATAAAATTGAGTTACTTAAAGTCTCTGTCATAGGTAAGATACTAAAAATGCAAAAATTGGAGAAAATGAATGTACGTAAATATATTTAAAATCATAGTATAAAACAGGACTCATTTTCCATATTGAAAAGATTTGTTTTACCCTGTAATGTATCTGTGAGGCTAATACTCAATTTACTTCCAATATTGTAACTTCTTTATTTTCAAAAGTTTCATGATTGGGAAATAACAACTACATAGTTTCCATAAGCACGTAAACAAAAGCATGCCTTTTTAAGATGTGTTTGTTGCATCTGATTCATTTCTCATATCATAACCAGTGCTCAGTTAATATAGGAATAAAATAAAGACAGCAGTATTATAAAAAAAAACTCTTTGAATTTCAGATAAACCATGTGAAATGTCCTGAATTATCTTACGTTCTTTCTACCTGAGATGTACAGGAGTAAGGTGACAGCCCGTCTCAGTGTGCTAAGCCACTACTTTCAGTGCTAAAACCAGGAAAGTCTGCAGCAAATGGGACAGCTGGTCCCCTGGGAGGCAGAAGGAAAATATTACCCCCTGTTTAATTGCAAGGGAGTCAGCAGTGACAGACATGACTAGGAATCAAGTCTGAGTCCAATCACAGTAATATTTCCCTAAGATCCATGATACGTAGACTATTGTAGAGAAGCCTCGCATTCCTTGTTTTATTCCTGTTCCCAGATTACACTGCTCTCCTTTAAAAATTAGCACATTTAATCCCCAGGTAAGAAAACTGTATTCTCTTGGCAGTGAATAGAATAGGTAGTAGATAGGCCCCAGTATCAAAGCTGTAATCAGGAGGGACAAAATATTGTTTAAAATTTTTGTATTATAATGGAAAAGTAGTAAAGATGAGTATCAACAGAGGAAAATGCTAGGATAACTTTTGTGTAAAACCGTAACAAAGCAGCCCCAAAGAATTGTTGTTGCTCACGCCTGTAATCCTAGCACTCTGGGAGGCCGAGGCAGGCAGATTGTTTGAGCTCAGGAGTTCGAGACCAGCCTGAGCAAGAGTGAGACCCCGTCTCTACTAAAAATAGAAAGAAATTAATCGGACAACTAAAACTATATAGAAAAAATTAGCTGGGCATGGTGGCATGTGCCTGTAGTCCCGGCTACTCGGGAGGCTGAGGCAGAAGGATCGCTTGAGCCCAGGAGTTTGAGGTTGCTGTGAGCTAGGCTAACGCCACGGCATTCACTCTAGCCAAGGCAACAGAGTGAGACTCTGTCTCAAAAAAAAAAAAAAAAAAAAAAAAAGAATTGTTGTTGATTGAGACCTAATAGTTGTTTGCTGCCAATGCCTGGATTTTTAGCCTTTCTGCTACAGTTTTTAATAGGACTCTGTGCATAAAACACAAGTTTCTAGAGCAAAGTGAGGTGTAACTAGACTGAAATCAAGCTTTCATGAACCCAGATTTCTTTAAGAATGCTATTTCTTTGAACTTTTAGGAATACTGAAATCATTTCACAAGTGATTCTGGAGTAGTAGGTTTTCAATCCCTTTACATTTTTCAAAGCACTTGGAGGTGAGAGTACTGGGGGAGAGAGTACTGAGTTGGCCATCGGCCCTCTGCTGTTCTCCCAGCTGCACTTTTATCTGTTTTCACTTTGGGGAAATTTTCCATAAGGTTTCACTTTAAAAAACAAGCAAAAGTGCTCTACTCTTTCTTTTCTTTTCTTTTCTTTCTTTTTTTTTTTTTTTTTTTTTTTAAGACAGGGTCTGACTCTGTTGCCCAGGCTAGAGTGCCGTGGCGTCATCCTAGCTCACAGCAACCTCAAACTCCTGGGCTCAAGCGATCCTGCTGCCTCAGCCTCCCGAGGAGTAGCTAGGACTACAGGCACGCGCCACCATGCTCAGCTAATTTTTTCTATTTTAGTTGCCCAGATAATTTTTTTCTATTTTTGGTAGAGATGAGGTCTTTCCTTTGCTCAGGTTGGTCTCGAACGCTGACCTCCAACAATCCTCGCACCTCTGCCTCCACCTCCCAGAGTGCTAGGATTACAGGTATGAGCCACCACACCCAGCCTCCACTTTTTTTTTTTTAAGAAAAAAAAAGGTCGGTAGAGGAGTTTCTCTGTGGCACTAGGTAGCCAAATAAATCCTAGTTTTTGAAAGGATCACTCTTAGACTACAGTGGGGGAAGGATGGAAACAGACTAGTTAGAAGACTATTGCAAATATAGTTATAATAATCTAGGTGAGAAATGATGGTGGCGGGACCCACAGTAGTATTCATGAAGGTGTTAAGAGGAGACCAGATGTAGATCTTTAAAGGTAGAGCCAACAGGATTTATTGTTGGACTGGATGCAGAGTATGAGAGAAAGAAAAAGAAGAGGCTTTCTGGCTTGAGCAGCTAGAGGATGGAGTTGTTATTTACTAAGATGTGCTAAGATGGGGAAGTCTGTGAAGGGGGAACAAGTTAGAGTTTTGGACCTGTTATTAATAAATTTCACATGATCGTTACACACCAAGAGATGTCAAGGTAGTAGCTCAGTATACAAGTCTGGAGTTTAGGGGAGAGGTTGGGCATCACCAGTATAGATAACATTTAAATTCCTGAGATCACCCAGGGAATGAGTATAAGTAGAGAAGAGGATTGAGCCCTGGAGCACTCAGATGCCTAGAGTTCTGGAAGGTGATCATCTGGTAAAGGAACAGCCAGCGATGCAAGAGAATAACTAAGAGAATCCAAGAAAGAGAATGATCAACTGTGTCAACTGCTGCCCATTGGTGAAGTAAAATGAGCCTGGTGATTGCAGAAGTCAAAAGCTGTTTCCTTGGAGTGGGCTCTGGGGAGAACGGGAGGAAGTAACTTAAAGACGGCTAGTTTAGAGCATTGTCTTGGGCAATTTGGCTAGTAAGGGAAGCAGAGAAATGGGGCAGTAACTGAAAGGAAGGGTATTGAAAATCAGGCAGGAATTTTTTGAAAATAGAAATTGGAATTCTAAGTACAGTACGGTTGCATGCTAAAGGGAATGATCAAATAAAAAGGAGGCACTTGACATGATGCAGGAGAGTGAAGAGAATCGCGATCTGCTATCTTCAAGGCCCCTGGCAAAGGATGGGACTGTGCCCAAGCGTAGGCACACACTCCTAGGAACAGGGGAAGGCAGAGGGAGAATAGAAGTTGTAACAGTTCACGTCAAACCAGCAGCGGACATGAGTGCACATTCCTCTAAGGCTCTATTGATACTGGTATTGTCATTTTTATTACAGTATCTAAAACCTTACAAATCTGATAGGTTTGTTTAAATTTACCTTCTTTGCTTACTACTGAGATAAAATGTTTTTCATGTCATTTGTAGATTATTTTTTTGTAAATTATTTGTTTTTAGGATAACTTTCTGGAGGAAAGTTTTAGGCTGTTTCATCATCACAACCTTTTAATTTTAAATTTCAGTCTAAGGGAACTATGTCTTGCTAACATAAGGGCAAATATTAACTATTTAACAATTAGCCCTTGTTGCACCTACTTTAGAGGTGGACATTCTAGCTAGATAAAAGCATTTATTTTCTTTATTAATTTAGTTTTACCTTTAAGTGCTCCAATTATAAATACAATTTAGAATGTTGAGACCCATGAATCCCTTGTTTAACATTGACAGATTTGAGGATCTCACTCCTTTATACTATAGTAATTAAGAGCATGCATGGACTTCAGAGTCAGACTGAGTATAAATCCTGGCTCCACCATGGTTTTTTTGACTGTATGGACTTCAGCAAAAAAACTGGACCTTTCTGTATTTTCTTACCTATAATATGAAAATAATAATACCTACTTTATAAGGCTATGGTGAGGATTTATTACATAAACACATAGAGAACATTACCTAACACACAGCATGAATTAAAGGCATCTATAAGCATCGATATTTCTAGGACGTTAGTAATAGTCCAATCATGATTTATGTTTCTGCAGAATCACAGTTTTCATTCTTTGTGTGCTCTAATGACTATTTTCTTCTACCTTTTTAGCAACATTCACATTGTTTTATAACCCTTTACTAGTATAAAAAGAGATGATCATTTAACATGGAGAAATCATTTATCACTAAATTTTAATTATGAAAATTTGGAATGAAACAAATAATTATGTTACAGATTATCTTAGAAAATCGCAACTGTGATGAGGCTTTTAAAAAATCTACAGATATATTTACATTCTCAGTATAAGACAGAAGCTGTAACATATACAGATTTGAGTAAAAGAAACACATTTATGATTTAAAATGCCAAAATCAGAGCTAGATAAAGGGAACGTTTTCACTCTTTCCATTAAACATTCTACAGCTTCTCATAGTCACTTAAGTGATAGTGTGTAACAAGATTATGGGCAACACCTATGCTTCATTCTCAGGTGTTTCCACCTTTCTAGTATGACATACTTTTTTCAAGACACCCATAAAAATTCCATGATGTGGTGGTTGTGTTTTCTTTCATACACTAGTGTGCTCAGTACATTAGTGTGTTCTCCTCTCATAGCTGTCCTACACTTGCTGGCTGGACCCCTGGTGTTCCAGGCAGGTGTCTTATGGCCCATGCCATATTCTGCGTGATTCATGAAGATGCCAGGCTGCCCATTTGGGGCATCAAGGGAAATGTGGAAAATGATGGATTAGGTATACATGAAATATGTGTGGGAAATTGGAGATAAGAAGCTCACCATTGAGTTGTTTGCATGCTCTTACTACAAAGACTTTATTGTGTGGCCTTTTTTATTGTTTTGCAGCACTTCTATTTTGTAATAAACTCAGCACCAATAAGTTTTTAAAAATGCATTTTTAACAAAGTACGGAGTTTCCATTTCTCAAAATAGCTGATGATGAACACATAACTTGAGTGAAATATTTGTTGATATTTACTATCTACTGTGAGGGCCATGGTGATACCACAGACCAAATGAAACAAATCTGCCTGTAGAAGCATCTAGCATTTACTTCAACACTTAGTAGATATTTTAAGAATACAAAGCCAACTATTTATTACATGCAGCTGAAGAAAGTGCTTTT